AAGCATGTTGGCTGAAGACATTACTCACTTTTATCCATACTTAGACTAGCTCCTAAACCCCTCATGAAACAGGCATACATCTCATCAACATGATAGCCAATTCTTTTTGTGTAATCTTGACAAATGGTTAAGTGAAGCCAGTAAGTCCCTATAAAGTCAAAACTCTAGGTTGGCTAGAGGGCCAAAGGCCATATCACACGAACAACAATGTTATTATTAACACTGTTATCATTATCCTTATTGTCATTGGAGACCGTGATGATATACATTGGCAGGAGGAAGTCTTTAATGGACTTCTGTAGGACCAGGAATGCTTAACTTCAGGATAAGATAAGAGCCTCTGGGAAGGTTTCTCCCCCGACAGTTTAGAAGGTGTGCTTTTTCTTCTTGAAGAGTGAGAGCATGAAAAGTCAGCTATTTATTCCCATAAACATACAGGCTGTTTGGCAGGGGGAGCTTTCTTGGAAGTGTCCCAGTAGCAACAGGAAAAGCCAACATAGGACTGAAAAGTATAGTAGGAAATCTAACTCATGGATAAGTTATAGACTAATAACTGAGAGATGACCCAAGTATCTTTTTCTTGAGAGTCTTGTTTTGAATGACAACACTTCCCTCAAAAGAATCTCTCTAGGATGCTGGATGATAAAGTTTTAGAGACAAATAGAGATTCCAGAGGTTAGATTAGCACCTGAATCCACATCCTTCATCAGACCCAATCCTAGTGCTCCTTCTACTATGCCTTGCCTGGTCTCCCAGGTAGACCAGCAAGTCTCTGGCCAAGTCTCATAGACATAATCAATTACTGTTTACTGATTGCCACTATTTCTTCTGCTTTATTACAGGTCAATTTAGTATCTAGGCAACACTGTGACATTTTGTTATCAGTCACATAGCTGAGCTGTGTGTTCTATCTAATTGCATACCACAATTCTCATCATTTTGTGGCCAGTGGGTAGTCGGGGCCATCACTACATGAACTTTGGGCATGCATCACAGTTAAAGATCAAGTCAGTCTTAATTGGCACAAAATCGAGTTATAAGTCAGTCTTGATTGGCACCAAGTATCCACTGATCCTTCCACAAAAAACACCACACAACAAATGAACAAACAAACAAAGAGTTTCATAGGGCTCTGACTTTCACACCCCATAAATCAGAACTTTTTAAAAAGAGCTACCATGAAGATCTGAGCCTCCAGTCCAGTTTGTCTGGGTTTTTTTTTTTTGTTTGTTTGTTTGTTTGGTTGGTTGGTTTTTTTTTAATTTTTATTAAAAACATTTTTTTTAATGTTTATTTACTTTTGAGACAGAGACAGACAGAGCACAAGCAGGGGAGGGGCAGAGGGAGAGAGACGCAGAATCTGAATCAGGCTCCAAGCTCTGAGCAAGCATTCAGCACAGAGCCCGATGCGGGGCTCAAACCCACAAACCACGAGATCATGACCTGAGCCGAAGTCAGACTCTCAACCGACTGAGTCACCCAGGCACCCCACAGCTTATCTGGTTTATCTCACTTGCAATAGCATGCTCACCATCAGCAGAGTTAGAGTGTTGCAGTTGACTGATTTGCTTCACTTTGTGAGAAAAAAATGCTCCAGGAGACTTTACAACGGCTTCAGAGACAGTATTCCTCTTTACCTCTCTAGGCATTAGGAATGCACTGGGGAACAAAACAGATAACGTTCCCTTCCTCAAGAGTTTACACTTATCAGTAGGTAATATCCATTTAGGCCCCACCGTTGTAGACTGTAAAGGACACGGTTGTCAATTCTATTAAGTTTTGTTTTGTGTTGTTTTTAATAAATTCGAGTTCAGGTCTATATTTACAGTTAGGAATGCAGTTTCTGATCTGAAGTGGGAAAATCTTTCCATGTGAACCTTGTTAAGAGCTTACCTGGTTGATGACAGCACACTAAAGCTGTATGAAATGTACAGCTTTTCCGTGCAAATTGGACTGATCCCTCTATCGATTAGCCATACTTAATCTTTCCTCTTTCCTGTTTCTTTTCCTGGCTACCTACCCCTTTCCAATTCCTATTCAGGGTTAATAAGTAAAAGAAAGCATGGGAACAATATCTGGCAAGAACTCTTGAGTTATAATTCTGGAGAAACTGGTTGTGGGAACGGAGGACCTCACTAAACTCCTTTAACTCCACCCAACAGGACCAGAGTTAACTAAGACGTGATTTTTGGCAATTCCCCTTATTTCACAAAAAGAAAATAAGGAAGTATACTTTCAAACATGTATTTTCTATCTCAGAAGAAAGCTCCTTATCTCCCCCTCAGCTGCCTGCCAAGCCCCAGAGGGTTTCAGGGTCAATGATTATCATCTCTCCATTCAGACACTTTGACATCTGTGAATATGTTGACCTTGAAGATCAGACCAAGACGTTCCTAACAGATGTTAATTTGATTGCTCAGTTCTGACCTCAAGTGAGGTCTGGTTTTTGTCTTCATCACTATATTAAGATAGTGATAACCTCGCTGAAGTCATAAAAATACCCTGATAAGCCTTATCGATCCTGGACTTGAAATTGAACAGATAACCCAAGTGTATTATGGTAAACTTTTAACCTACTCTCTAAGACATATGTCCACCAAGAGAGAGACAAGAGTTCATGCTTTTTGTTTCATGAAAGTCCTCTCCCCCTTTTTTTTATATTAATAATTACTGCTTTAAAAGTAACACAACCTACTCTCTCCACTTTGCATTTATTTTTGCCAGGCTTTGACAAGAATAAGGATCATTATAATCAGGAAATCATTGAGAATCCTTTTCTTAGAAAATTTTGCAATGTGAAAAAAGTTGGAATACAATAGCGAGACTTTGAACATAGTGATATTCGTTGTCTACCTTTACACGAGTCCTATAGATTTCAGTCTCATGTTAGAAGTAATAGCTCTTATTTGTGTAGCTAAAGACACTGATGTCTTGGGGAATAAAACCATTTCTTATTGTTGTGTTGTAAAGAAAGAGCATGACTTGGAAGTCAGAGTTGGGTTCACATACTGGCTCCACAATTTAACATCTGGGTATTCTTGGGCAGATACTAGACAGAGCTGAGCATAAATTTCCTAATAGGTAAGATGAGGGTAATAAACACATTTTGTTATTTGGACTCAAAAGATCCCCCTTCCTTCAAACATGCAGATCCCCAAGCTTCCTTCTTAATCACACCCTCAAACTCTAATTAATAAATAAACTACATATTAATGCACACTTTCTGTTGTTGTTAGAAGCTTCCTAACCTGAGGTAGAGATACTATTGGCCAAATGCTTTCAAATTGGCAGACACAGGGCTCAAGTAGGACAATAAAACATTAAATAATCACTAACCTATCAAATGGCCCCCAAACAGGAAAATTGTGTGCCTTAGAGACTTAGAATAGATGGACTAAGGTTAGGAATTTGGTTGAGGTGGAAAAGAACAAGATCTGTGTATGGTCAAGTATGGAAGGTGGGAGCAAGATCTAGAAAATTCTAGAAGCCACTGACAGCTCCAAACCAAAACAATCCTTGGGCTAGGCCTCCAGAACCTTTATCTCTGCCAGCCCCTGCATTATTCAGTGCACGATGTTGCCAAAGTCTTCTTATGGGGAAAAAAGTCCCTCCTCTGCAAAAGACAAATCAGGACCACATTCCAAGGTAACTGAGTAGACCTTCACCTCTCTCTTCCTGTTTGCTGATGCCTGAAATCCTTTTAAACTTGAGTGGAACACTTTTCATCCCATAATTACAGCTAGAAGGCTTAAATTTCACAAGCCTATTTGAGACAAAGTGTTGATGAATACGAGTTCCAGTCAAAATATAATCAACCAATCAGTAAGTGTCAGGGACTGGTTATCAGATCTTTTTTGTTGTGAGAGGGGAAAGAGGTGAAGGGGGCAAGACCCTGATCAGCTGAAAGGAGATAAAAGGTCACCACCAGAGGGAAAGCTCATAAAAAAAGTTTTTTAAGTCACAGTTTTGCCTGAGAAGAGCCCTGTTTGCAGCTGGGAGGCAGGAACAGAAGCTGATTGAGCTCTGAGGTTGGGTTGTTTGGATTTGGTTTGGTCAGGCTTCTGGAAGTAGCATCAAACTGTTGCAATGATTTATGAACTACTTTTCCTTCATTGGTGTTTATTTCTTGTTTATTTCTCGTTCACAGCACTGGCTGACTTCTTATTGAAAAAAAAAAAAAAGAGCTTCTAATATATTGATAGAATAGGTGCTGGAAGGGAGACTCCAACCCCCATCCCATTCCTCCCCTCCTTCTGCAATTTATTCTTTCCATGGTTATGCAGACCAGCCAGCCAGCCCATCATTAAGTCAGGTATTGAGATAGTCAGTCAGACATTTAGACAGACAGACATTCAGTCAGTTGTTCGGCCAATCAGCAAGTCAGACAGTCAGTCCATGAAGACTGTAAAATCTTCCTAACTAGCCACCTATTTTGAACTCTACTCATTTCTTCTTTTATACTAATTAATACACCCTCTGGTGCAGATTTTAATAATGATATTTAAAGTGCTAACCATCCTTGAAGTGTTGTTAGGCCACTTCAAATGCTGGCTAATCACTTCCAAGTCGCAGATCAGATTTCAGTCGTACATGTAGCACAGAATTTACTCCAAATTATTTGAAAGGGAAATTACCATAGAGACGATACACTTGACTGTCAACAGGGGACTAGTTAAATAACTTACGATATACCTATAAAACAAAGTGCCTTACAGCTGTAGGAAAGAATGCGGACACACACATGAACAGCTATGGAAAAACACAATACTCTTTAGCATTTTTGTCACGTGAAAATGGAAAAGCATGGGATGCTGTATATAACACCTGAGTGAAAAAAGAAAAAAGAATGTATATACTGTGTACATGCATAAACATCTCTAGAAAATGTACAAACACTAGATTATACTGATGAAGTGGGGGGAATAAGGGCATTGGGGTGGAAGCGTGGTGTTTCCATAGTTCCTCTTCATATCATTTCTAAAATAAGTTCAGTAAAAAGCTTAAAACATTAGTAGTCTTTTAATACACTACAGAGCAGTTTTTTGATATAGGTACATCTCAGAAAATAATAGTCACGTATGTATTCATTCTGTTGTTGAAGACTGAGGCCACAGATACCCCGCATGCCTGACTTGTGACCAGTGACACTTCTGCCACTCTTTGTAAGGCTGTCCTGAGCTGGGTCTGTCTCCATGGCTGCGCATGCCTTGGCTTTGCGGCGGTCACCTGTTCCCACCAGTTAGGTCCCCAACCCGTAGGCCACAAAGGCCCCCTGGTCCTTGGCACTAGGGCAAGTCTGTGTCAGCTCCGTGGCTCTGTCTTCCGCCTCACTCACATCCTGAAGAAAGTACTCAAGAAGTTGATAAAGAACAATATGCAATTCTTTCCTCCACAGTTAAAGGTGTATTCATTCCCTAAGGGCCCAGAACGAAATATACTCCGCGAAAGCCAAAAGCAATAACAAGAGCTGTGTTTTTAAAAACACTTAACAATTCACTGAGATTCTTGTTGATGTCATTCTACTGCCCTTAAATTAATTTCAAGGGAAAACTGGTGAACTTTTGTCCTCCAGGAAGTTTTTCTTTATTGCCCCACCTCCCTGTCCTCCTCCCTCCAACTTGTTTCATTCCCTCCCAATCAAAACACCACTAAGGACACCCCCTGCTAATTGCTATTTTGCTGTCAGGCCTAAATGGGTCAAAATCCCAATCACTAGTGGAACAAGAGGCAGTGTGTTTGGCTTAGATCTGGGACTGTACCAGCGCTTGCCTAAGTGCCGGTTTTCATATGCTAATATGCTGCAGGGAAGCATTCCCAGCAGGAATGCCACTGGCTAGGGCTGATAGACCCAGTTTTCGGTTTTCCCGAAGGTATTGGAGAGAGTAGGGTAAGCAGACTCTCCTCACTTCTACCAATTGGCAGCTCGCAGGTCTTACTGATATGCCCCGATTCGAGAGACCCCCCGAAAACAAACCACCAGAGTCCAGAGCCAAAGCCAAGCGCAAGGGTCGTTTATTGCAGGTTCAAACCCGGTCCTCGGAGCACTCGTCTCTGGTGACGCAAGAGGCCCCGAGCAAGGATCTTACAGCTTCTTTTATAGACAGGCACAAACAAGTTAGGGATTTTTTTTGAGGTTACAGAGTTGTTATAGGTTGACATTTAAATTTGAACGCTCAGCAGAGCTTGATTGGTTCCCGCCTTTATTTCAAACCATTCAGCAGAACTTGATTGGTTTCCGCCTTTATGTCAGACTATGACGGGGCGCGCCCTGGCTGGTTTCGGGAAGGCGGGGGAGGGGAATGATCTTTTCTTTGCAGTTGTGAGTACACCTGGTAATTTTTCTCTTAGCCTCTCAACTGACACATAGATAACTTTGGTGTGATACACATGATATTTTCAAAAATTTTTAAGTTATTTTTTAAGTTTATCTATTTATTTTGAGAGACAGGGAGCATGTGCACCCATGCCTGAGTGGGGAAGAGGCAGAGAGAGAGAGAAAGAGAGAGAAAATCCTAAGAGAAAATCCCAGCTCTGTCAGCACAGAGCCCAAAGAGGGGCTCCAACTCATGAACCGTTGAGACATGACCTGAGCCAAAATCAAGACTTGGACACTTAACCCGACTGAGCCACCTGGGTGCCCCTGTTTTCAAAAATTTTTAATTAGAAATGGATACCTCAAACATCTGGAGATTTCACAAAACTCTGGATATAACATCTTTTTGTCACACAGTGGGCCAACCAAAACCTGATTCCCTCCATCACATTTGTGTGAGCTGAGTAATGACCGCCCCTGTAGTTAAGGCACACGCTCTCCAATTCAATAAGACCCCAGGTGCCTGGCTGTTCCTGTAACATCTATTGAGCAGTGACAAATTGCCCCCCAAAAGTCAGTTGTTTAAAACAAGCATTTAATTTTGTTCCCGGTTTCGTAGTTATAGGTAGGTGTTGGCCAGGCAGCAATAATCTGAAGGTCTGGTTGGGCTGGAGGCCCAAGATGGCCGCTCACGGGGCTACTGTTGATGCAGGTGGTGATGCCTGGAGGCCCAGCTGGGACTGTAGACTGGAGCTGAAAAGGGGGTGGGACTTTTCACATAGTGCCACTTCCCTTGTAGCAAGGGTCCTAGAGAAGCAGGCAGAACTGCATGATCTTTACAACCTAGCCTCAGAACTCATACTCTGTTGACTGAAACATTCATAAGCCCATCCAGATTCATGCTGTAGGGACATAGACACCACCTCTCAATGTGAGATATGCCAAAGAACTTGAGTCTCACTTACTTGATCTACTTGGTTCCTATAGACTTTTGAATATAACCTGCTCCCTCACCCCAGGGGCTGGAATGAATATTGATAGAAACACATCTTCCTCTCCCTGTCCCCTCCCTGCTCTCTGCCCTCCCTCAAAGTGGGTGGGGGACAGTTTTTACTGGGCACCACCAAATGACGTTCCTTTATCTTACAAATATTTGTAGAGTACCTATCTTGTGTCAGCCACTTTCCATATATTTTTGCAAATTTAATAATCACCATAGCACTGTGTGATCCATATTATCCCATTCTGCAGATGTGGAAACCCAAGTTCAAAAATCAAATATTTTGAATGGGGTTGTAAGACTTTGAAAGGGTAGACCCGGGATTCTAAGTCAGCTGTTGCACTGTGTTCCATACCAGGAGGAATTATAATTTTTGCTTTGGTCCCTGAACAATATCTTTACAAATGTGTGCTGATGTACTGTGTCTCTAGTCAGAATAACAGACTGTCCTCATGTCCATGAACCCCCTGGTTCCTGTCTCAGTGGAGATAATGCACGAGGCTCCCCACCGCGCCCCCCCCCCTTTGAAGAGCAAGTGTTTAGAAATTCATGGATCTTTGTTTGTCAGCTGTACCCTGAAAAAAATCAACATTTCTTGATGAGGCTCTCCCCTCACCCCTGAAACATAAAGCCACAGTTCTGGCATTTGAGGCCCCCAGCCACAGGCTCTAGAATGCAGGCATGGGCACAGATCCATGCGGTGGGCTGTTTCTCATTCCTCTTCACATTTTGGGTGGCTGGGAATAAATAAGAAATGAATCAAAGAGGCAGAGACATAAGAGAGGGGTGGTATGCAAGGAGGGATAGTAAGTATTTGCAGTCTCAGCAAAGTAAGATAAGTTTGGGGGAATATGCCCAAATTCTAAGGGGACCAGCATTTCTATGTTCTGACACAAGGGCCACATTTCACTGGTATGTTCTCTGGTTTGAGGTTTTTGAAGCCCATCTAAGTCTCCTTCCTTACCAGCTGGTTCTCTTTCTTCCTTCCAGTAATGTTGTTTCTTGGCATGAACAGGAAGGCACCTCTGTTCCAAATAACACAAGAGTCAAGGAGGGGATGACAATTAATATTTACTAAGACCTTGGGCATCTGGCACATCATGATATTCATTGCAAGTCCCAAGCGTGGGAGAAATCAGCTCCATTTTTCTCTTCTTTCTTTTCTTTTCCTTTTCTTTCGTTTTTTGACATATAATTGAAATATACATATTAGTTTCAGGTGTACAACATAATGATTCGGTATTTGTATATACTGTGAAATGGTCACCACAACGAGTCTAGTTAACATCTATCACCACACATAGTTACAAATGTTTTTCCTTGTGATGAGAAGTTTTAAGATGTATTCTCTTGATCTATTGATGGCATGGATGTACACAAAGGGGTGAAATTAACAGTAGCCATCTTTGGAAGTGATCTACCATAGTATGTATCATGTATTGATATTCTTTGAGGTTATTTTAAGTTTTCTGAGGACTAGAAATTTATTGAAAATTTGAAAACATTTTTTAATGTAAAAATAATACATGCACAGGAAAAAAAAAAGCTTACAAACTATAATGGTATCAAAGGGAAGGATATAAAATAGCAAGTAAACTTCCTTCCCAATCCCACTTGTCGTTTCTGGGGGCTTCTTTTTTATTTTTTAATTTCTTTAATGTTTATTTTTGAAAGAGCGAGAGAGACAGAGTGCAAGTGGGGGAGAGGCAGAGAGAGAGGGGGACACAGAAGCAGGCTCCAGGCTCTGAACTGTCAGCACAGAGCCTGATGCGGAGCTCGAACCCATGAACCGTGAGATCATGAACTGAGCCGAAGTCAAATGGTTAACCGACTGAGCCACCCAGGCGCCCCATCTGGGGTCTTCGTAAGCTTCTCTTTGTCTATCTCCTTTTTACATCATATACATATATGTAAACTATATTTTTCCAAATATAATATCATGTTTAAATATGATATTCCCAAAAGCCTGTTCCACCTACCCCATCAATCCTTGTGCTATGCAAAAATGGTCACCTTTTAGTTTTTAGTTGCTTCTTGAAAACTATTATTAACTTTCAATCCCTTAGAATACTTGTTCTTGGCAAACAGTAAGTGCTAAATTCATGTTGACTAAGTGGGACTGGATTCATGCAAATTCTCACAAACCTACAGTATGTTGCCCTTAAAATTCTCTTCTTCTTTTTCTGTATCTTTAATCATCACTCTATCCCCCATTTTAATTCCTTTTGGCCTTCCAAACAGCTTTTTGAAAATACAGTAAAATCTCATTAAATGTGAAAATAGAGAAAGGACAATATGAGGAGTGCCTGTGTGGCTCAGTTGGTTAAGCATCCGTCTTTGGCTCAGGTCATGATTGTGAGGTTTGTGGGCTCGAGTCCCATGTCGGGCTCTGTGCTGACAGCTCAGAGCCTGGAGCCTGCTTTGGATTCTATGTCTCCTTCTCTCTCTCTCTGCCCCTCCCCTGATCATGCTCTCTCTCTCTCTCTCTCTCTCTCTCTCTCTCTCTCTCAAAATTAAATAAAAAACTTTAAAAAAATGGGCAACATTAAATAATGAAAAGTCCAAATTATAAAATAATTACTAAGAACTGAAGGACTGTACTTCTTTATACCAACTGTACAAGCTAAAACTTAACAAAGTTTGGAAAACCCAAGATTGATAGCCAGTTGTTTTCATGAAAGAGTCAATGTCATTTGAAATTAGCATATCGATTATTGGCTTCCAGGTAGGTGCATGGAAATCTTGAAAATTCAACTCAGCAACCATTTATTGAGCACAGACCATGTATTCATTGTTGTCTGGAATTTAAGATGACTAGGATAGAGCCATACCCTTAGAAGAATCTACTATTCAGCGGTGCCTAGATGGCTCAATCGATTAACCATTTGACTTTGGCTCAGGTCATGATCTCACGATTCGTGAGTTTGAGTCCCACATCAGGTTCTGTGCTGATAGCTCAGAGCCTGGAGCCTGCTTCAGTTTGTGTCTCCCTCTCTCTCTGCCCCTCTCCCCCCTCTCAAAAATGAATAAACATTAAGAATAAAAGAAGAAAAAGAAAAAGAAGAAGAAGAAGAAGAAGAAGAAGAAGAAGAAAAGGTCCACTATTCAAAGGAGGGGAGAGATAACAGAAATGAAGAGTACAAGGGAATGATTATGGGACTGGCAGAGAGGGAGAAGTGTTAGAGGGGCACCGGTAGGTATCCTCAGAAAATTATTATTATGGTTCCACTGTTAAATTCCACCTGGACACAGCGTTCATGGTAGATTGCTCATCCTGAAATCTGGTTATGCATATTCCTTTTTACACTTCTTTAGAAAACGCAGGGAAGACAAATTTAGGCCCAAAGTAGCTTTAAAAAAGAGTCACACATTCAAAATCATCCAGGTTCAAAAGGATACCGCTTTTTACAGCATAGGGAATATAGTCGGTGGTATTTTAATGGTGTTACATGGTGACAGATGGTAGCTACATTTGTGGTGAGCACAGTATAATGCAGGGACTTGCCAAATCACTATGTTGTACACCTGAAATCAGTGTAACCTCGTGTGTTACCTATACTTCAATTTAAAAAATAACAAAATTAGGGGTGCCTGGGTGGCTCAGTCGGTTAAGCGGCTGACTTCGGCTCAGGTCATGATCTTGCGGTCTGTGAGTTCGAGCCCCGCATCGGGCTCTGTGCTGACAGTTCGGAGCCTGAAGCCTGCTTCTGATTCTGTGTCTCCCTCTCTCTGACCCTCCCCTGTTCATGCTCTGTCTCTCCCTGTCTCAAAAATAAATAAACGTTAAAAAAAATTAAATAAAAAGATACCCATTTTCATATACGTATGAAGACAGTCCGCTAATGTCCTAATTTCCAGTAATCATGAGGAATCATTTTTACTAGATAGCTGAGTTCCGAAAGTAGTGGACACTTACTGTCCACTTACTTAGCCTG